TGTGTGTGCATGTGTGTGTGTATGTGTGTGAATGTGTGTGCGTGTGTGTATGTGTGTGTATGTATGTGTGGGGATGTGTGTGTGTATGAGTGTGAATGTGTGTGCATGTGTGTGTATGTATGTGTGGGGATGTGTGTGTGTGTATGAGTGTGAATGTGTGTGCATGTGTGTGTATGTATGTGTAAGGATGTGTGTGCGTATGTGTGTGTATGTGTGTGTGTATGTGTGTGTGTGAACTGGTCTTCAACCACTTTCCATGCACGTTTCATGTTGGGCTCGTCTTAGACTCTCCGCATCTTTCCCAGTAAACGTGACAGATGAGAAACTGGAGGCAGAAGACTAACTTTAAGAATTCAGCTCCTGGATTAACAATTTCAGGGCAGTTCTTGGACAGACATCAGCTTATACAGCATTTATCAAAACACGGTTTTCTACAACCACCTTGTCATTCAAACCGTTGCACAATTGCTGAGCTAGAAACCGAGCCAATGAGAGACCAACAAAGACACCATTGATAGAGGTGGAGAAGGGAAGAGGAATAAAAATTAAAGTGGAAAAACAGGAATTTAGATGTTTGGCTAGAAACTTCCTCCCAGATCTAAACTTTCTTGTCTGGCTGAAAAACTACACACAGTTGGCAAGATCTGTGCAGAAAAGTAGGGCTCTTATATCAGGAGCATAAAAGCAAGCAAGTCACAGGTCAGCGGCCGACCTGGGCTAACAACCACACATCTTACCACCTGTGGGACACATGGGGATGTCTATGGAGGGTGAGGAGCTATGCCAATGGCCTTGTGCTGGGCCTGGACATGTTTCTGTAGAAGGGGAAGAAAGAGTTGGGATAAGGGTTCTTAGGGGAAAGAGCAGACCAGACCCCTTCCCCTTACAGCCAGTTCTGGAGTTTAGACCTGGAATCCATCACTTTGGGCTGGGTAGGCAGAGTGCTCTTTGGTGATAGGACCTATTTTACAGCAGTGTTTTGACATATCCTTACATGACCATATCCAGGTCTTGTCTTTTCCTTCTCTTAAAAAAAAAAGATTAAATTAAAAAAGATGTATGTTTGTGGGTTGGGATCAGTGATCAGGAAGACCAGAGGAGTGGTGTATCAGATTCCCTAGAGCTGGAATAACAGGTAGTTTTGAGCTGCCCCACACGGGTGTCAGGGGCTCTGGAAACCTAACTCAGGTCATATGCAGGAGCAGTACACACTTTGAACCATTGAGCCGTCTCTCCAGCCCCAGGTCCTGTTTTTTCAAATCAGGATGTTTTTTGGAGGCTTCTCCCCCCACTTTCCTTTAGAGCAGTGAGACCTGTCTCAACAAAACAAAAGAAACTAGTGAAAAAGTCTGCCTGGTGTTCAGTGGATATCACTTAGACTGGCCAAAGATCCCAACTTCTTTCTTCAACCTTTGTTGCCAAAATGATGACGATTGTGGCCTGATTTGATCACTCCACAAGGCAGGCATATATTGAAATATCACACTGTACTACACACATACTCTTAATCCCAAAGATTCAAGGAGAAAGAACACCGCCCCATCATCATGCCAAACTAATTAAAGCAAGCTTTTAAAAATTTGGGTACATGGGTTAAAATCCTAAGGTGGGTTTTAAGAAGTCAGCATTGGACATGGGCAAAATAATGATTATAGCTCAGGGGCAGGGGGTTTTCAGATGGGGAATTTGGTAGGCAAATAGGCAGAGTTACAGAAGCAGACTATAACATGGCGGTCATAACAACAGGTGGTCATAACAACCCTTTGATCAAAGGTATACTTGCAAGGTGGTCTAATAACTTTTGAAACAAAGATGTGGTTGTCATTTCCTGGATGAGGCAGTACAGAATCATTGCAGTTAAGGTTATAGGTGGGACAAAGCCCAATCTTTGAGAAACAGCAATTTAATCATGAACAGGAATGAACCTAGTTCATTATTATCTTTTATTATTATCTTTATTATAAGATGACTTTCAAGTCCAAGATGGAAGCAGGTTGGTTCATTGATACATATGTAAATATGTAATTACTACTTATCATCAAAAATAAAAATTGAATAGTTTTTTTTATATACCTATTAGGCATGGTGACTTTTGCCTATAATCTCAATACTAGGGAGGTAAAAGTAGATGGAACAGAAATTCAAAGGCAAGCTGGGCCTGGTGGCACACACCTTTAATACCTGCACTCAGGAGGTAGATGCAGGTGGATTTCTGTGTGTTTGAGGCCAGCATGGTCTTCAAAGTGAGTGCCAGACAACCAGTGCTCCTGTCTCAAAAAAGGAAAAGAAAAAGAGAAAAGAAGGAAATTCAAATCTAACCTCTGCTACATACTGAGGTTTGAGGTTAAAGCCAGTATGGACTAAACAGACCCTGTCTTTCATGTGGGACTCCCCTCTGTATTCTGTGATTACCACTAATGAATAAAGAAACTGCTTTGGACCTATAGCAGGGCAGAGCAGAGTTAGGCGGGGAAAACTAAACTGAATGCTGGGAGAAAGAAGGCAGAGTAGAGAGATGCCATGTAGCCACCAGAGGGGAAAGATGTGAGCTGCCAGGTGGAATCTTGCTGGTAGGCCACGACCCTCATAGTAAAATATAAAATGATGAAAATGGGTTAATTCTAGGTGTAAGAGCTAGTTAGCAATACACTTAAGCTATTGGCCAAACAGTATTGCAAATAATATAGCTTCTGTGTGGTTATTTTGGGAGTCTGGGAGGCCAGGAAATGAACAGGTGGCCTCCAACAATATATCTTAATACCCCCTTCCCTACCAAAGCAAGCAAGCAAACAACAACAACAAAATACAACAAAGAATTATTGTCTTCAGTAATAGGCCAGCAGGATGGGTCTCCTGCTTTCCTTTGCGTGTTCACTGGTACCCACTCCTCCTCCGTATCCTGCTCCCCCAAACATCACCTGAGTATTTGTCAGGATCACATGGATGGCAAGAAGTTTCTCCTTTATTTGAGTAAGAGTTGACTGGACAAAGCTTGCAGAAAGAGGAGCCCTGTTTGGAGGCGTATGTGCCAGGCTTGCAGGGGAAACATTCCGAAGTGTAAGCCACACCTGAGGAGAAAGAATGGCATAGAAAATCAAGATTGATCCAAAACACTGAGGCCCTGGGGGCCAATGTTCACCCTTCCCTAGAAGCCAAGAGTCCAGGAAGCCAGCAGCAGACCCCAGATTTGAGCCTTTTCTCTGTACCTGTTATGGCAATGTTTCTCACAAGCACGGGCTTGGACACTTTGGACCACACTGAGAAAGCTGTGGTTCTCCAATAGAGGACATTATTGCCTCTGTTTAGCTCAACCTTAAAAAAAGACATAAGGTAGGTGTTAATTCGTCACAAAAAAAACGGGCACTGTTAATTTGCCTCACTGGTCTCTCGCTGAATAGGCAGAGCCTATTCTGACCCTTTCCTTCCTCTTCCTCAGTGTGGCCTCTTGAGGCTTTGCCTTTCAAACCATCTCCCACACTTCTCTGGTCCTCCACATATGATCTTTGCAGCATATATACTACAAGCACCTCTTATAGGACCAGCGGGATTGACAGTAAGGGAGACTGGCATTCGATCATTCTCTGGTTTTACAGAAAACCCAGCCCCCAAGCTGGAAAGGTTTGGCTCCTGGGAATAAGTCAGAGGCGCAAACTGGCCACCCTATGGCCTAATCCATCAACTACAAGGAGAGGACTCCTCCCTCCATGGGCTGGAACAGAAGCTCCCCTTTAGGGCCCTCGGCCCCTCCTCCGGGATGGTGGGGGTGGCTGGTGTGGTACTCACACTGTGGAATTCCCATCCTTTCTCCGTAGTTTTCATCCACCTGGAGTCATCGGCATTGGGCTGGCACTGGTCATTCTGGACCTGAGGCAGAAGGGGTTTGGGATGAGAAGCTCGGCCTCCCGAGGAGATGAGGACCTCACTCCCTGCTTCCTGATGCTCTACAACACTGATCTCGTGGGAGAGGGGCCGCCAGTTCCCAAACCGAGAACAGATAAGTAAGCTACACTCAACGATGTCTGAACATTGATCCTGGAGAAAGAATTTACAGTTCAGTCACTTGCAAGTCATGACAAGTCTGAACAGGATGGAACGTCTAGGAAATCCACAGGCTCTGTCCTCACCACCTGTGTCCTTCGCCTTGTGCCTTTTCTCCTCAGCTCCCCAGGCCTCCGCCCGTTTTGCTCACAGCTTTCTCTAGAGTGAAAACCAAAACACTTCCCCAACATGGCTATACTTGTGATTGATTCCTATAAATGAATCTGAACCTCAGAGGTTCCTGACCTCTCTGTAAACCCTCTCCTCCCTTTCCCCAGGCTAGGTGCTTACAAAAAATTCAAAGATGATGCTGGAGTCCGGGTAGTAGTATTCAAAGTTAACTGTGCCAGACTGCTTTAGGTTGACGGCGTACATCAGAGTGGCTGTGCATTCGTCCGTGTTGGAGGCGATGTAGTCTCCTCGGGGAACCCACTTGGACCTGGGAAAGAACAAGGACTGAGAGTTACGGCAGCAGGACATCCCACAAGGCTTTGTGCCATGTGTTAGGTTCCATGTTCTCCTGTTAGGGATTCTGGGGATTTCCAGACTCAGGAGTCAAAAGCTGGAACTTGTACCTTGTAGTGGTTTGAATGAGCACGGTCCCCAGAGGCTCATATATTTGAATGCTTGGCCCTCAGTTAGTGGAGCTGTTCAGGAAGGATTAGGAGGTGTGGTTTTGTTGGAGGAGTGTGTCATGGGGGTGAGTTTTGAGGTTTCAAAAGCCCATGCCAGGCCAGTCTCTCCCTCCCTCTCCTCCCCTCTCTATCCCTCCCCTCTCTCTGCCTGTGGGTCAGGATATAAAGCTCTCAGTGCCCCAGTGCCATGCCTGCCTCTCACCATGATGGTCACGGACTAAACAAGCCCCCTGTTAAACGGCTTCTCTCTCTCTCTCTCTCTCTCTCTCTCTCTCTCTCTCTCTCTCCTTTCTTTTGTCTTTGTTTTTTGAGATAAGGTTTCCCTGTGTAACAGTCCTAGCTGTCCTGGAAGTAGTTCTTGTAGACCAGGCTGGCCTCGAACACACAGAGATCCACCTGCCTCTGCCTCCTGAGTGCTGGGATTAAAGGTGTGCGCCACCGCTGCCCGGCTCTAAATGTCTTCTCTTAAGAGTTGCTGTGGTCATGGTGTCTCTTCACAGCAATGGAACAGTGACTGATAAAGACCTGAACACACTCAGAGAACAGTAACAACAGGCCTCTGAGGCAGATCAAGGTCGCTAAGGCAAAGCCAACCAGAGGAAGACAGTGACGCAGTGACGCTAGCTGGGTGTGGCTCCATGCTTCTCACAGCTGGACTGGAGGTGAGTGGCAGGTAAAGTCAGGCAGCTATGAGCCGCATGTTTTATATTCATGATTTATGCTCATCAGTAACAGGAAGAACTTTTTCCCCATTTAATAGATGAGAAAACCGAGGCTTGGAGAGTACCTTGACCAATACCATGAAGGCTTCAAGTGACAAGTCTGAGATTCAAATTAAAAACTGCTTAATCCCAAGGTAGTCAGAATCCATAAATATCCTCGAGACCTCAGAAGCTCACCCAGGCTAATCCCACTCGTTTTTCCAGAAACATCACTTTTCAAGGCTACGTGCACACTGCTTTTCTCAGAAGGGCCTGGCAGGAAAACCGAAGGTGGTCAGTCTTGCCACGTTTGTTCCGGCTCACTCTGCCCACTGGCCCGACGGCTCCTTCCCACTCCCTACCACATTATCCCTTGAGTAGCCTTTATTTTGTCTCTGGCCCTGCATCCGACAGTCTCTCTCCACACCGTGGTTGGAGACGTCCAGAAGGAAAACAAGAGCGAATCCCTTCAGTGGTCTGAACCCTGTGAGGATTCCCTGTTGTTCTTGGATTAGGGCATGCATTACTGGCCTACACATTATGGAATTTCTCTCAATTCCTAGGCCAAACTTTACCCCTGGGCTTGCCCTCATCCTCGAACAAGCTTCTTCCTCCTCTTTGGTTAATTCTTCCTCCAGTCTTACAATAAATAAAATAAGTAAATAATATGATAAATGATTAAATAAATGCCACTTAATGTTAAGAAATCAAAAAAGAATAAATAAAAAAAAAGAAAAGAAAAGCTGAGAGGTGGTGGTGCATGCCTTTGATTCCAGCACTCGGGAGGCAGAGGCAAGCATATCTTTGATCTTTGTTGAGTTTGAAGCCAGCCTGGTCTACAGAGCTAATTCCAGGACAGCTAGAGCTGTTACACAGAGAAACCTTGCTTTGAAAAACAAAAACAAAACAAAATAACAAAAAGGAAGTCATCCTTGTATCAAGCATAGCCGTATACACCTTTAATCCTGGTACTTCAGAGGCAGGGGAATCTCTGTGAGTCCAAGGCCATCCTAGTCTACATAGTGAGTTCCAGGTAAACCAGGGAGATACAGCGATATGTGGTGCCCAAAAAAAAGAAGAGTCTTCCTTTAGTTTATCTGCTTCTGCAAGAACACCCTGAGCTTGGTCTGTTTCCTTTCCATAATTCCATTCTACCTTAAATTTTTTCATGTATTATCAACCACTTAGGAGCTATCATAGACAAAATAAGCACACATCTACCTACCACATGGCTCAAGAACTCCAACACAGTATAGCTTTCACAGTACCGGGAGGCGCCATGCAGGCTGGCGGGGGAGAAAAGTCAGCAGCGGTAGAGAAAGTCATGTGGATGTCCCATTTGGGGCGCCACTCTTGACCAGAGCAGCTTCTTTCTGCAGTGAGGAAGAATCTCAGAGACTCACAGCCATTAGCTAAGGGTGACGGCTGAATGCTCAGCCCTGAGGGAAACATCCACAAGACTTTCTCTACCGAGACTCAGGGAACTCTGTGGGAGCAGAGGCAAGCAAATAAACAAGCAAGCAAACAAACAAATAAACATAATCCAGAGGATGGGGAGGGATGCCGTAAAAGGCTGTCTTTTGGACATGATATGTGAGTCAGTGTTGAACTCAAAACTCATGGTAGCTGTTCAAAAATAATCCAGTTGGGCAGTGGTGGCGCATGCCTTTAATCCCAGCACTCAGAAGGCAGAGGCAGGTGGATCTCTGTGAGTTCAAGCCCAGTCTGGTCTACAGAGCGAGTTCCAGGACAGTCTCCAAAGCAGCACAGAGAAACTCTGTCTCAAAAAACCAAAACCAAAACAGTTGGTATTATTATCAAAATGGAAAGAAACCAAATTCTTCCAAAATGACCCAGGTAACTTAAAAGTGTTGATTCTCTTGCCAAAAGAGACATTTAATACTGATGTACTCCATGGTATCAGCTATAAATAACTCTCGAGGTTTAATGAAAAATTAAAAGGAAACCCTAGGTGGGGTACATCTGCAAAATGCATGACAGTTCCGGTGTTTGATAGTTTGCCCCTGGTGAAGACACTTTATATTCATTAACAACGTGTTTGGTTGGTTTCTAGTGTCAGAGGCACCGCTCTAGACTCTTCTCGACCCCTCAATCAGTGCTGGGGATCTGAGATTGGATCCAAGGCCTTGAATGTGCTGGAGTGTGCACTACCACTGAGCTACACATTCAAAGCCTTTGTTTTCTTCCTAAAATCATTTTAGAAGGATTTATTCTTGTTTTATGTGTATGGGTGTTTTGCCTGCATGTACCGGGTGTTTTGCCTGCATGTACCACGTGCATGCCTGGTGCCCACAGAGATCAGAGAGGGCACTGGATTCCCTAGAACTAGAATTACAGATGGTTGTCAGCCACCATGTGGGCACTCAGAATCTAACCCAGTCTTCTGGAAGAGCAGTCAGTGCTTTTAAGTACTGAGCCGCCATCTCTCCAGCCCACCTTTGGTTCATTAAGACAAAGATACGCGATGTAGCCCAGGCCTGGAACTCTCTGTCCTCCTACCCCGAAGTCCCAAGTGCGGGGTTCAGAGGTATATGCCAGAACGCCTGGTCTCTTAGTTAAGGATTCCATTGCTGTGAAGAGACACCATGACCACGGCAACTCTTGTAAAGGAAAACATCTAACTTGAGCTGGTTTACAGTTTCAGAGGTGTAGTTCTTTCTCAGCGTGGCAAGAAGTATGTCTGCACGGTGCTGAAGAAGGAGCTGAGAGTCCTATATCCTGATTCGCAGGCAGCAGCAGGAGGCTGTGTCCCACACTGGGCACAGCTGGAGCATAGGAGACCTCAAAGCCCACTCCCACAGTGACACACTCCCTCCAACCAAGCCACACCTCCTACTAGTGCCGCTCCCTCCGGACCACGCAATCAAACACATGAGTCTATTGGGGCCATTCCTATTCAAACCAACACACTTGGGCTACAGCTTTTGCACATACACATTAAACTCTTGTTTAATCACTACTACACTCTTTAAGAATAGCCCTATTAGCTGGGCGTGGTGGTGCAGGCCTTTAATCCTAGAACTTGGGAGGCAGAGGCAGGCGAATCTCCGAGTTCAAGGCCAGCCTGAACTACAGTGTGAGTTCCAGGACAGCTAGGGTGACACAGAGAAAACTTGCCTCAAAAAACGCCACCACTACCACCACCAACAACAAGGACAGCACTCTTTTTAGCACCACCATTTGTTTTTGAGACAATCTCACTGTGTATCCCTGGTCTGCCTGGCACTAGTGTGGAAACCAGTCGGTCCTTGAACTCACAGAGGTCCACCTGCCTCTGCCTCTTGAGTCCTGTGATTAAAGGTGAGCACCATTGCACCGGGCTTTCCATCATTTTTAAGAAGAGGAAACTGAGTATAAGATTAGACTAACCATAGGCCAGTCAGCTGTGGTCTGCCTGCGTTTTCAGTGTTCACTGTGTTTAATGTCAACGTCTGCTTTTCTTTCATTCTTGTTCATGGTTACAGAACTTGGCTACTCTTTCCCACCCACTCACACCCAGCACCATACCCCACGCTGTGCTGATGGATGTGCTGCTTAGTTTTAAGAGCCAACTTGACAAACATAATATAGAATCACCTGGAAAAGACTCCGTTCTGCCTACATACATATTAGCACACTGTGTGTGCAGTGCCCTGGAAGCCAGAAGATGGCCCTGGTTCACTGGGTTACAGTTGTGAGCGCTCGTGTGGGTGCTGGGAACCGAACCCAGGCCCATTTGCAAGAACAGCAAGTGCTCTAAGCCACTAAGCCACCTCTCCAGCTCCAAGTCTTTTTTTTTAAAAAGATATATTTGTTTATTACGTATACAGTGTTCTGCTTGTATGTATACTTGCATGCCAGAAGAGGGCACCACATATCATTACAAATGGTTGTGAGCCACCGTGTGGTTGTTGGGAACTGAACTCAGAACCTCTGGAACAGCAGCCAGTGCTCTTAGTCTCTGAGCCATCTCTGCAGACCCCAGCTCCAAGTCTTAATGAGGAAGTGTCTCGGTCAGGCTGATCCTCGGGCATGTCTGTGGGAGATGATTGTTTACTAATGTAGAAGGACCAGATCGTTGTGAGCAGCACTGCTCCCTAGGCGGTGGGCCCTGCGCTGTGTAAGAGAGCCAAAAGCTAGCGAAGCGTGAGCAAGCGGGTGTTTGTTTCTCGCTGCTCTTGGCATGCTCTTGGCATGACTAGGTGTTTCAGGTTCCTATCGCCTTGCTTCTCAGAGACAGACGGCAGCCTGGAGCTGGGAGTAGAAACAAACATGTCTCCCCCGACCAAGTTGCCTTCTTTCAGGGCATTTTTAACACAACAACAGAACTGAACTAGATCAAACACTTCCTCTTTACTCTGATTCCCTCTAGCGACCTCGGTGTCTGATGACAGACTGTTTCCCATACCCCGGTCCTGGGACCTATACCCAGCATCCATGCATGACTCTTAAAACCTTGGGGATCCTGCGGACATGGCGACTGCACAGTTTCTCCTCTTCCTCGTGGTTAGTTCTGTGTCACTTTTGTGGCAAATGATGTGTTAGATGCTGGAGACACGGCCGGTGCTCTCCTGCTTAGGGCTTCTATTCTGTTCCTAGCTGGGGGGACAGAAACTTAACTAATACAATTAATCACATAGGAATAACTGTGCTAAGCATGGTAACAAGAATGACAAGGTGCCAGGGCAGGCTCCAAAGCTTAAAAAACAAAACAAAAACAAACAAACAAACAAACAAAAAATGACAAGTTGACACCAGAGTGTTTTAGGAGGCTCCTGATGCAGGGATGGTTTCTTTGAGGACATGACTTTTACTCTGAGAACTAAGAGCCAAGTAAGACAGTCGGGGACAGGCCTGTGGAAGGGCTACTCTAAGGTTTCAGGAGGAAAGCATCTGACCAGCTGGTGTGGCTGTGGCATGGCAGCAGCAGGGGAGATGTTTGGGAGACGCAGGCAAAATGGGCAGAGAACAGAGGAGAACAGCAGCCTGCCCGGGCTGTGGGAAAGGATTGGATCTCATCCCAAGAGCAATGGGTGGCTTCAACCCAGCGTTCATTCTGCTGGCTGCCGGGTGGAGTCATGACCAGGGCCTGGAGGAGGCAGAAAGGGGAAGCAGAAGAGCAACTGGGAGATTGCAGGGTGGATCAGGCAGGGGATGCTGGTCCAGTCAAATGGGAAGTAACGGGACTGCATACAGGAAAGCCAGAGCTAGGCTCATAGTATCAGCTCAATTAAAATCTCTCCAGGTGGCCATTTCTACTGAGAAGAAGTCCTCTCTCCCTCCTAGGGATGTCTCTGGATGCCTTAAGATTCAGGCTCCATGATGGTCTGTGCCTTGAGAACACGATCTGTAATTAACCTACGCACATCTTGCCTCAGTGAGAGATAATGATTCCCACCGCTCTCACTGCGGTCTCCAGGGAGGAGGAACCTTTCCTCTTCCAGGGCTGGGAAGTGATGGAGCGGATAGATGGATGATCCGCATCTCGTCCATCCCTGGTCAAACGACATTTGATATTCGGGCTTACACAGGACGGGCGCCAGATCGTTTTAACCCACGCAGCCTCTCCTTTCTCACTTGCATCTCTTCTAGCTCTATGTCTGCTCCCCCACACACATCAAGCTATCGCGATAGTGATTATGATATGTTAACTTGAACTCTAATGTTAAAATTGGATGACTTGCTGGGCATGGTGGCACATACCTTTAATCCTAGCATTTGGGAGGGAGGCAGAGGCAGGTGGAGCACTGTGAGTTTCCCGCCTGGTTTTCATAATGAGTTCCGGGCCAGTCAAGGTTTTAGAGAGACACTTTCTCAGTAAAAACATACAAATGAATAAAATGCAAGTGGATGATTAAATGTCTACCGTGTGGTTCAAACACTGGTCCTCCTGAGAGATTTAAGCACAGAAATGGGAGTTAGCATGGGTGAGGCCCCAGGTTCAACTCCCAGGACCACAAAAACAAACTTTGAAAAGAGGAATTCAAGCGTAACGCAATTCTTTGGTCCTGTTAGTACATTTACGTAGTGATATTTTGCTTATGTTTTAACAAATAAAGCTTGCCTGAAGATCAGAGTGCAGAGCTAAGTCACTAGAGACCAGGGAGTGGAGGCTCACACCTTTAACCCCAGGACTCCGGGGACAGAAGCAGAGGGATCTCTGTTAGCTCAAGATCAGCCTGCTACATGAGACTGAATCTGTCTAAAAGAGAAACAGAGCTCACGCAAAGGTGATCCCAGCACTTGGGATCCCATGTCTTTAATCCCAGCACTAGGGAGGTGGATACAGGAGTGATTTGGCTGGGCGGAGAGAGGAATATAAGGTGGGAGGAGACAAGAATTGTGCAGTCTGAGATTTGGTGGAGACAGACACAGTCTGAAGATGCAGCCCGAGGACAGGATTGCCCCTTCGGACTGAGCATTGATAGAGTTCTTTTACAGAACTCTCTGGTGGCTGGCTGCTCTGCTTCTCTGATCTTCAGCATTAACCCCTATATCAGACCCTGGGTTTTTATTGTTAAGACCAATTAGAATTCGTGCTATGCATTTACTTGCTTTGGTATAAGAGAACATTTGCTTTTCTGTCATATGTATTATCAGAATTGTTTGGTGTAGCTTTTTGTCCTGATGTTTTTCTCCCTGGAACCCACCACCACCTGGCACACAGTCATGTGATTTGAAGGCGGCAATGGGGAGCGGTAGAAACTTGGGACTGCGTCTGCGATCAGTCCCGCCAGTCTCGAGCTAGGAAACCAAGATGGAATGCTTAACCTCCAGGTTTTCACAATGCCAGTTTCACTGGGCTCCTGAGTAGGTTCAAGAAAAACCTTCTATGTAGGACATCCAGCCTACACCCGAGTCCCTAAAAGGCACATCTGGAATACATATTCAGCTGTCTAGTCCTGACCCCTTGGGGAGCGGGCACCGAGCTTTTCAATGACTGGCAAAGGTCTCCTTCTGAGCTGGTGATTCCTAGCAACTGGGATGTTGTGCGTCAAATGAGACTGGCCACGACAGACTCAAATCATTGAATCCTTGGTCCCTAGTTGGTGGAATTGTTTGAGAAGGATTGGGCAGTGTGGCTTTGTTGGAAGAGGTTTCAAAAGTCCAGTAGAGACCCAGTCTTGTGCTTGTGGATTAGGATGTAAGGTCTCAGCTACAGCTCCGGGGCCATGCTTTCCTGCCTGCTGCGTGGACTCACCCTCCGAAACGGTAAGCCAGCTCCCAATTAAAGGCTTTCTTTTATAAGTTGCCTTGGTCATGGTATCTCCTCACAGCAATAGAACAGTGACTAAGACATGAAGTCTCAAGGGAGTTAGAGGATCTCATTCATGATCCCTCCAAACCCACAACATGTCATACACAGTCAGTTTTAGATGCTTGGCACCAAAGCCAGCAAGACAGTCAATGCTTCATACATTGTGTTCTAATCCGGTTAATGAAGTTAATTTACTGACTCAACATTCCAAAGAGAAAATCCAATTGTGTTTTGCTTTAAACTTGCTGGTCCATTATACACTTGTTGTTCCTCATCTACCTGCCTCTATTTCTTTAGGTGTTTTTCTCTCTCACAAAGGTCTGCCAGTCAGTGGTAAGCTTAGAATGGGTAAGGTTAGAATGGGTCAAAGGAGCGGTCACACCCATGAGTCCCCCGTCCCTCACCCACCCCCAGGAAGTGTGGTGTCCTCCCACCTGCCTTAGGAGCAGCACACGACAGTGCACAGGTTACCCCGCAGCCCCTTCCCCAGGAGACTTGGGTGCTGGCTCCCAGACTCACAAAGTGCAGTTCTCCGTGGACTCAGTGATGCTGTCATCGACTTCCAGGTTGGCCGAGAGGCTGGCAAAGCCGTGAGGCAGCTCATCCCACTCATCAAACCGGATGCCAGTGCCGAGGGAGTAGCGGCCCTCTGCGCAGGGCTTGCAGGACTGGTCCTTCATATCCAAAAACTCTCCGGCATTGCAAGAGAAAGCTGAAAAGTAGGGCAGGGACAAGGGAGGGGTGCTGAGGTCACTGTGGTCTCTGGGGGAGGGATGGGGCTGGAGGCAAGCTAGAGCCAGGACCACTGAAACCTAGGGCTAAGGGACGTTTTGTGTGATGATATTTATATGGAAAGACCACAAGAGTAAAGTCATAGAGACATAAGGCAGATTTGTGGTTACCATGGAGACTGAGGAGTGACTGCTGTTAAAAACTTTCTTTTCAGTCTCTAAATGCCCCAAAATGTGAGTGGTTAAGAGTTGCTGGGAACAGCTGGGTAGTGGTGGTGCATGCCTTTAATCCCAGCACTTGAGAGGCAGAGGTAGGTGGATTTCTGAGTTCTAAGACAGTCAGAGAAATCCTGTCTCAATAAACAAAACAAAACAAAACAAAAACAAGGGTTGCTGCAAAGATTCTAGCGGCCCTGAAATTTTCCAGATTAAGGGTGGGATTTATGGTCAGTAAGAGGAGGTATTGTAAGTTCAAGATCAGCCTTGTCCGCATAGCAAGTTGTAGGTCAGCCAAGCCTACTCAGAGGGCCTTTCTCAATTAAGAAAAATAAAACAACCTAGCCAAAGTAGTTGCATCTCAATAAAGCCTATATTTTAAAAAAGAAAAAAAATATTTTAAAGTCAGGCAAAGTGGTGACTCACCAGCAATCCTACCACTTGGGAAGGGAAGGTAGGAGTTCAAGGTCAGCCTCATCTATATGAGACCTGTGGAAAGAAAGAAGAAAGGGAGGAAGAGAAGGAGGAATAGAGGAAGGGAGGGAGGAAGAGAGGGAAGAAAAAAGGAGGGAAGA